CCTCACAGGTACAAGAGTTTCTCCTGCCTCAGCCTCCTTAGTAGCTGGGATTACAGGTGCGTGCCACCAGGACCAGCTCATTTTTGTATTTTTAGTAGAGACAGGGTTTCTACATGTTAGTCAGAGTGGTCTTGAACTCCTGACCTTGTGATCCACCCGCCTCGGCCTCCCAAAGTGCTGGGATTACAGGCTTGAGCCACCACATCCTGCCTGACTTTTTTCTTTTTGATCTCTTTACCTGCCTATTGGCACGCCTTCCAAAGAGTAAAAGAGGCAGAAACATTACTACCCATCTATTATTCTTTTTTGGAATATCTCTGACAAAATTTTATAGTAGGTAAGGCTGAAAAAAAAACAGCTATAATGGGGCTTACAACACACATTTGAAGATTTAAATTCTCCATATCACTGTTTATCTCACTACAAGGTTTTGTCAAGTATTAACCTAATATAGTAATGTAATGATTTAATGATTTACTACACCATAGAATATATCCTTTTGGTTTGTCTAAATGTCTTTTTCTTCATGGAGAAATCATTATTTCAGTGACATATTTATGTTTTCTTTCCAGTTGTTATTTTAAAATGAAAAAAGGACATGCTTAAAGTAAATATTTTACCATGACAGTTTTCTAATCAGTCTGCAGTTTCACAAACAAATGAATTTATTTACACAAATTCCAAGATTCCAGTCCCCCTTATCTGTTAGCTTTGCACTGGTAACATTTGCCCGGTAATTCACCTAAAGTATCTTTCTATAGGCAATGGCATCCTCAACAAGAAAGGAAACATGAAACTGAATACAGGTACCAGGAATCAGAAGAGTGCTGGGAAGAGAATGATCTTTGTTCTGCAATAGCAGAGTTGCCTCCTAAGGAGCTGGAGAATTCAAGCTTGCTTGTGTCACTAAAAGAAGCAATGTTGACTCAAGGAGAAACACACAATGCCATGAATTATAAAGACTGGTGACAGAAAAGAAGTTAGTTTCTCTCTTTCATCGTCTCCTGTCATCCCTACACAAGAATCATGGGCTAATAGCATGTTAGGGCTGGAAGGGGCTTATAGAACATCTAGTACAACCTCCTCTCTTCATTGGTGTTAAAAGGGAGGCCCAAAGAGAGGAAGATACTTACCTAACTTGTAGCAGTGCCGCAGAAAATTCAAATTCTTTACTTCTAACTGTTTCCAGAATTGGTCATTCATCTCTTCGAAATATATGTGTAGGTGTAAATAAAATTATACCCAAGGGGGTTTTTAATCTGACACAACTATATATCACATGGCAGGGACAAACATTAACAACCGGAGCCAAGTTGTTACTATAGTCAATAAATCGAATAACTTATTTTACCATCTCTTGTTCTTCTACCTGTTTAAAAAGTGTATATATCAAAAATCCAAGCTTCATCTTACTTAGTATCCTCATGCATGGGTAGAGTTAAAATGGGTTAGGCATCATTTTGCATTCGAGTTCTGGAATGTATGCAGAGCAAGGTTGGATGGATTTTTACCATGTAAGTCAGCCACTAGGCAGTATTTGTAGTGGAAATGGGTCTCTAACACTCATTTCCAATAGGACAGTAGAAAACGTGGTATCTGCCACCACAGATCTGCTGTCAAAAGTTTAACCTCCTATGGGTTAACATGCGAGTGATTTATTTTATCTTGTGAGTTACTTTGACACTAAAGTGCCTTGAATGGTCATAACTTTGACAAAAAGACCTTTATGGCTGGTTGAACTTAATGACCTCTAAAGTCTGATTTTACCCTGAGATCCTGTGATTCTAAGAGCAGCAGTAGAAATCCTAGGCATCTTTCAAGTGTCATTCTGAACAACAACAACAAAATCACATCAGAAGGGAAAATCTTTCAGACTCATTTTCTTGCCATTTCTACCAATATAAATATCAGCTTTATTTTTTTGAAAGCTTTATTGGAATTTCTACATAAGGCTACATACATTTCTAAATAGCTCCCTCAAACTAGAAACTTGTCTATAAAACAACTGAAATAAAATGGAAAGCCCCTTTTCTCAGCCTTGGTAAACCTTACTTTTATATCCCTGATCAATAGGGCTATACTGTCCCTGACAGATGTTTTCATCCTTTTTTTTTTTTGCCTGAATATAATGTAAATGGAGCAAATTCTACCCTAAGGTGCAATATTATACCACAGACTGGTATAATAGTTTATGGCCTATATATTATAGTTATATAAAACGTCTCATATCACATCACCAATTATAAGGGGCTGATCTGCAATACAACTGATAGGTTTAATCCTATAGGATAATTCATTTCAGTTATAGTTTAATTTTCAACTTTACTCATTTGTGATCTCTCTTTATAATTGCCATAAAGGTCAGGGATCATATGAAGCACTGTTTTTGAAAAGTCCCATGTGGAAGCCAAAAAGCCTAATAAATATCTTTGATAATAGAATTAACAAGGATACTAATTTATTATATTCTGTAGGGAGAGAGAGCAATAATTTAACTACAGAAGAATTCAGATGAAATAGGAAAAGAAGAGGAAAAAAAGGGAAAACTAGAAACACATTGCTTTCCAGGTTCACAGACGGCAAACATCATGTGGATACTTCCCCAGTGCCTTGGGCTATGTGGTTAAGACTAAACACACTGTGAGCTTTCGCTTCTATTTATTGAACCTCCAGGTGAAACCAGATTAGCAGAGAGAATGTTTCCTAGGTCATGAGGGAATTTAATTCTTATCACCTGCTGTGGAAGATTGGCAACAGCATTCCTGACCTAAAGAATAAACTTCTAATTGTGCTTAAGAAGATAATTCAACCAAGGTAATTCTAGGTCTGCTTCAGCTATTCTTTCCTTTTGAGTGATTTTATTTCAGACTTAAATCCATTCCCTTGATGATAACTGGAGAAATGAAACATAGGAAGAAAATGTCCAGAAAGGATAACACCAAACATTAATCTCTTTTGAACAGAGAGACTCTCCGTTCTTAATAAACTAGACACAATTTCATGGGCATGTAGGTACTTGAGTGCCCACAATGCACCAGGCAACGGTGCTGGGGGTGGCAAGAAATAAATGCAATGCTTCTCTACTCTGTGACAAGTCCTGTGATAGTAATTTTTACACGCCATCTCAGCAGACCCAGCAATATGGGCATTCTAATGTCTATTTGATGCTATTTACACCGTATAAGGCAGTCTATAAGGTGGCCCCCAATTGTCCCAGCCTCCTGGTATTCGTACCCTTGTATTATTCCCCCCCTTAATTGTCCTAGACTTATTGACTCACTTCTAAGTAATGAATAGAATACAGCAGAGGTGACAGGATGTCACTTTCAAGATTAGATTGAAAACGACAATGGCTTCCACCTTCTCCCCAACCCTCAATCAAAGATAGCTATTAAGTCGTAAGCTGTCCTATAGAAAGGCTCTTGTGCCAATGAAGTATTATCTCTTGCCAACAGTCCACAATGACCTAAGACCTGCCACCAGCCATAGGTAAGGGCTTAGAAGCAGATCCCTCCCAAGTTGAGCCTTGAGGGGACCGAAGCCCTGGCTGTCACTTTGGTTGCAGCCTTATGGAGGGAATCTGAGCCAGAGGCACCCAGCTAAGCCACATCTGGATTCCTGACCTGCAAAAATTAGGTGGTAATGCCTTGTTGATTTTTGAGCTGCTACATTTTGGAGTATTTGATATGCAGCAAAAGAAAACTAATATAACACCATTTCCTCCTCTCTAGTCACCATTATTTAGAAACAACTCCATGAATGAACAATAAGAATCAAGAGTTGGGAATCAATAGTTGAGATGACAGATTAGGCAACAGCATGATGGCCAGCACGTGTCTCATCCGGAAGCTGTCCTCCTCTTCCTTATAAGACAAGGCTCTAACTCATGAGGTTGGCTTTTACCACGAAGTTGCAGGAAGTGCTTGACTAGTACAGGAGCACAGCTAAAAAAGGCTCTGAAGACCAAGTCTTCCATATTGATCACATCTTAGCTAACACTGCTATGGCTTTATCAGGCAACGAGCCAATGGTATCTGATCTGCTGTTTTCCATTTCTCTCATAAATTAGTTAAGGTCTGGGAAGGACATCTACCTCATTTTCCTCTCCTTCCTCCCTGCCTGCCACACACATTGAGGGCCAAGAACGGCTCTTTGTAAAGCGACTTGAAATGAATGCGACAGGCCTTGTCCTCCTTGGAAGTAAACCTGGATGGAACGCAATCAAACAGCATGCATTTGGCATCAACTTATGTTTGAGCGTTGCAGGTAGAAAAATGAAAAATATGTTTTGGCAGAGAGTTAGACAGAAAGGAAGACTTAATTAAATATCTGAAATATACACCACTGGAACCAATTAATAATCATTAAGGGATCAGAAAAGGAAGGACATTAATAAAAAGAGTTTGCAAAGTTGAAATTTCAGGTGAGAGGGAAAAAATCTCATCCACATTCTTCTGAATCTCTAAATTGGTAAGCAACACTTATTTTTCATTTTCCTAGCTAGTATTTATCCATTGTCAATGTCCTACTGCCTTCAATACATCTACAATCTAACTGGGAGACCAAGATCTCTAAAATGCAATGATGTGTGCATCAAAGCTCAAGTTCTTGTCAGGGACTGATTGCTTTGGAGTCCTCAGCTCCACGTCCTAGCCCATGTGTACACTTTCATCGTTTCTTTTCAGAAAGGAACTATTTTTATTCTGTAAAAATCTTGTGGTCAAATGAAATAGGTATGCTTTATAGGTAAGGATCCTGAAGCAAAAATCAAATGCATAAAGATTACACGGCAAATGAAGTAAGAGATTTTTAAGCTCTGACACCGTTTGATTTTTAGTTTTTTATATCATAAAATAGTGCTAATAGCTTATAAAATAATAATAAGTAAAAGTAGCTTTGTTAAAGCAGAAAGAAACTTACCCCTCCCTACAACAATTTGCAAACTTAAGTCAAATGATCAACGGATCAAATAGCAGAGGCTGGAGTGTGCCCAAGGGGGACTTGTTCTTATCCTGGGTGTTTTAGCTCAAGCAGAAATCAATGCAGGGTTTTCTGCCTGCCACCTGCTTCTTTTGTTTCCAGTCAAGCAAAACAAGGGGCTTATCTCCCTCACAGATCAACATATGAGATATGCTTCAGATATGTTTGCCTGTCAGACTCATAAACACAACAAGATATGCCAGCTGCAATGGAAGAGAAGCCCTGTTTCAGTTCGTGGATGACAGACTGAAACATCCATCAGCATCAAGACAAACAGCTTCCAACTACTGTCCTTGATGTCCAGCCTAAGAGAGTCGAGGAATGTGATCAAGGAACACTGGATTCCCAAGGTCTGCTCAGGTTTCCTTCCATAACAAGAAGTAGCCAAATACGGCTGAACAGACCTGGTAAGTGAAGAAGCCTCCTTCTTGACTGAGATGGGGGGCCTTGAAACACTTTGTTATATTCTCAGGAACGAACACAGACCCCTAGTATCTAGGTCTTAGTATTCATGATACTTACTACCAACCTCTGGACCGGGTATGTCTGTTAAGTCTTAACTATTTTACTAGCATATTTCCCCTAGAACTGATGTAGTAATTTGATAAATAAAAATGTTATAATACTTTTCATACAGAAAAATAAATTTTTTCAACTCATTGGAAGAACATTATCACTTTGATCATTAAAATTACCCTTTGAAATACATTGGGCAAATATTGTTTTTATTTTAAAGATGAAAAGGAAGCTCCAAAGATGCTAAAATTTGATGTGCAATACTCCAGAGCTATTTTGTAAGAATGTGGAATGAACCCATATGCTCTTTGTACCACTCCAATTTAAGAATACATTTAGTCATTATATAATATTCATTGTATACCTACTATGTGGAAGATAATGTATTAGATAATGTGAGCAATGCAGGTAAACTACTAAGCTTCATTTTATTTAACAAAAACGTATATAGTGCCTACCATGTGCCAGGTACTTTTCTACATGTTTTACAGAGATTTAGTCCTTATAAAATGCCCACCTATGTGGTAGTTACTAGGCACAGAGAGGTTAAATAACATGTCCAAGGTCACTCAGCCAGTAAGTAGCAGAGCTGTAATTTGAGCACAGGCAGTCTGGCTTGAGAAAATGTTTTCTTGATACTTTACTATGTAAGCTACTTTACAAAAGACTGATATTTGATAGCTCCAAGAGAGTGAATTAGTATCAATAGCCATGTGCAGATAAAAAAAAATGGATAGAAATAAAGCCCTTCAATGTATTTTTGACTTAGATTTTTAAAGAAGGGTCGGGAACAGTTGCAAAGGGAAGGGAATAAGAAAAGGCTGTTGTTAACACTCTGTATTGCAAAGAGCTTTCCGATTTCTTTAGGGAACTAAGCCACCAAAGACTGGTCCTAGTAACTTCTATCACATAGATTAACTAGGACTCCCATTTCAGCATTGATTTAATTCACATCGAGCAGGAGGAAAATGCTGATTTAATCTGCAATTTTCTTACATAGCCCAATGCAACATGTGTAAGAAAAATAAACGCCAATTTGTCTTTAAGATACCAATCTGGGGCAAGTTCCTACAGGAAATAGGGAAAGGCGATATCTAGATGCCTCGATGCCACGTCTAGATTTTGTGCATTCTAAAATCTATCCGTACAACTTCGACTCTCTGAAATAGTTTCTACATTCCCCAGTATCTCAAAAAAAAAAAAAAAAAAAAAAAAAAAAAAAAAAAAAGGCAGGGGGAATATGTTGGTTGCAGTAGCATGACTTTTAGCTTAGAAAATAACATAGAGACGGGCCAGGTGCAGTGGCTCACGCCTGTAATCTGAACACTTTGGGAGGCGGAGGTGGGTGGATCACCTGAGGTCAGAAGTTCAAGACCAGCCTGGTCAACATGGTGAAACCCCGTCTCTACAAAAAATACAAAAATTAACCCAGTGTGGTGGTGGGCACCTGTAATCCCAGCTACTCAAGAGACCGAGGCAGGAGAATTACTTGAACCTCTGGAAAGTGGAGTTTGCAGTGAGCCGAGATCACGCCATTGCACTGAAGCCTGGGCAACAGGAGTGAAACTTTTCGTTTCAAAAAAAAAAAAAAGAGAGAGAGAGAGAGAGAAAATAACATAGAGACTAAACACATACTGATCACATGGAAAAACAAGGGATGGAGGAGAGATGGGGAGACAGAGCACAAAGGATAATCATCTTAGTTATATTGTCATTGAACTGCACCATCACAATGAACTCTTCAGCAATAATAAAAGCAAGTATTTTACAGTTTTTAAAAGTAACTAATCATTTGTACATGCATTATTTTACTTAGTTCTCATAACTGCTCTATGAAATAGGCCTAATTATCAGCTAAGTCACACTGCTTGATGCATTCAAGGTTACAGGTGATTTTGCATTAAAAGAGACTTGTTTCTCTTTCAAAACCACAAAAATTGTCTTATCTACATTAGACTATGCCATAGTATTACCTTTTTATTCCAGCTGAAACCACTTATTTCTTTAAGTTCAGAGGTTTGTAACCTGCTCAATGGTTTAAATAACAACAACAAGTAGTATCTGAAGTCAGCACCATCTACTCAGCAGCCCAAATCTGGAAAGTTTTGGAAAAAATCAGGACACCACTGTTAAACACCTTAACAAGGCTGCAAACACAGGCTGTCTATTCCTCATCAACAGAATCTTTGATACTGGCAATTTGTTGAGATTGGCTTGCAGAAGCATATATCAGTAGCTATGCTATGAATATTTACCAGCTTCATACTCATTCATAAAAATCAGCAACATTTTCCTCCTAGATGTCTGTACTGGTCTGGAATGGCTATTTAAAAATAATCAGAAACCCCCATTCATTCAAGAATGACTCTTACCTGCAACCCAAATAAGCCATACAAACAAGGGTAGATCTCAGATGAATCATAATCAAGGGCCCTGTTAAAATCTTCTGAAATCAAAAGGAAATAGTAATAGTAATTACTTTATTATCTATCTGCCTATCTATTCAGCCATTCGTATTGTTTAAAATTTTTGTAGGTATATAGTAGGTGTATATATTTATGGGGTATAAGGGATATTTTGATATGGGCATAAATGTGTAATGATCACATCAGGGTAAATGGAGTATCCATCACCTCAAGCATTTATCCTATTACAAACAATCCAATTATGCTCTTTTAGTTATTTTAACATGTGCAATGAAGTTATTATTGAGTATAGTCACTCTGATATGCTATCAAATCCTAGATCTTATTTATTCTAACTATTTTTTGGTACCAATGAACCATCCCCACTTTTCCCTCCAAGTTCCTTAACTGTCCCAGCCTCTGGTAACCATCCTTCTACTCTCTCTCTCTCCATGAGTTCAGTTGTTTTAATTTTTAGCTCCCACAAAAAATGAGATCCGTTCATTCATGCATCCACCCATCTATCCAATGTTGTTTTCACTGACTGCAAATCCGTGCTTATGAAGATACATGACAAAAGGGTGATATTTATTTATGTTTTTAAAAAATGTATTTCTCAACAAGAACACATGGACACAGGGAGGGGAACATCACACACTGGGGCCTGTTGGGGAGTGGGGGACTAGGGGAGGGATAGCATTAAGAGAAATACCTAATGTAGGTGACAGGTTCATGGGTGCAGCAAACTACCGTGGCACGTGTATAGCTATGTAGCAAACCTGTACATTCTGTACTTGTACCCCAGAACTTAAAGTATAATAGAAGGAAAAAAAATGGCAAAAAATACATTAAAAATGTGTTTCTCCTGCTAAATTAGAACAATCAAGCAGCTGTGTTATTCAACACTGAATAGCACAACCTAGAGGCTACCAGAAACATACTTAGGGATATTTGATAGCATTTTCAAGAAGTCCACTGTCCAAAGATCCTCAATTCTTTTTCAGGAAGAACCAAGCATCCTTAGAGCTAATAAATCTACTTCAAATGTTTAATGGGTAAAAATATTTTGACACTAACTACTCCAGGGCAAGAGAAATTGCTATGAGTAGCCTTAAAACACTATGGGTACATTATTAAACTGAGACCCAAACTACATGTTTGCTCTGTCCCAGAATCACCCCCCAACATGTCTATTTATCTCAAGAGGGATTCTAAAAGCAAACCTTTGTAAATAATTTGGATTTTTTTTTCCAGCACAGATTCTAAATTTTCCTACCATAAATGTATGTGTGGTAGTAGTTATAATAATTTTACTTATTAGGAAGATTTATTTAAAACGGATTTTTGTTTGAATTTTGGTTAACTTATTTCCCCTGTTGGAAGAAAAAAATGTAAGTGGGGGGCATATTCAATTATAGAATAATAGTAAGGAAAAGGGTAATCTTTGAACTCTATCTTGATTACATGCAAATATCTCTAAAACGATAGCAATAGTCAAACACCCACGGGGAGAGAAATGTGGAGTTATTGAGTTGTTAAGGGAGCACTGCATATGGCTGGAATATTGGACAACATTTTCCAAAAGGCATTGAAGACTCTTTAATTACTCAAGGCTATCAAATACCATGGAGCTGTGATTTGTTTCTTGTCACACATACAGCTGACAAAGAGTGGCTGCAAGGAAAAGCTGTGACTTTACCTGTTATTGGGAGTGCTCCTACATTTTAAATTTCCTTCTTACTCTTCCTTCCTTTGGGGAAATGGAGAGAAACTCCCACCCCTTCCTTTTACCATACAGTCAGAAGATTAATGTTTCATAATAGAATCACATAGAGTTGTGTTTGTTTTACTGTCGAGGGCACTATGGAAACTGACAGTCAAACTACCAATTTAAAAGGATGCCTGGTGCTATCCCGAACAAACATAGGCGGCTTGTGTACAATGCAATGGCCAATTAGAGGGTCATAACATCCTTCCTAATTTGATATGACATTGGTTTCCCAAATGAATGAAACCTGACACATACAAAACTCAAAGTCTGTAACAAAGAACAAGAGGTGAAAGGAGAAAAAGGGAAAAAGTTGACTGTCATATCCTGCTTATCATGAGCAGCTCTCTCACAAATTATCATATTGCTTTTCCCTTATCATGTGACTTTCATCTATGGCAACTCCAAACACAGGTCCGGAAAAGGTCATGATAATATATGTCCTAGAATCACTGTCTTATGATTATCAGAATGTTTTAATAAATCCATCACATTGTCTGGGCCGCAAGCAAAATAGCATCATAGTTATACATGATAAAAATTTTTGTAATGATCACAGTGTGTCACAATATAACCACCAGGGCCAGATCTTGAGACTCAAATGTCACTTCAAGAGAAAGTTTCTGGAAGTTTTAATAGACACAGAATAAATACATAAAAATTAGCAAGGTCATAGCTTTTTAATTCATCAGAAAAGTGGTATTTTCTCTGACCTTTTTTTATAAAATCTCAACCTCCCAAGTCCCTATTTCTTTTATCTACCTAATTTCTCTTTGTTAGCACTATCTAACAAATTACATAATTTACTTACTTGTTAACCATTCCCAAGCCCCTCAACCCTGGAAGAAAATTCCACAGAGACAGGGTTTTTTTGTCCACCTTGTTCAGATCAGCAAATAGTTACTGAATTAATTAATTACTTAATGTCTTCATACCAAGTGGATGTGGACTTAGTATTAAAATCATATCACTGAGTCAATTTGACCAAAGGCAGAAGCTATGGAGATTGACAAAGAAGAAGAACAAGAGATAGGAAGCCAGTGATAGAAAAGAGTTGGTCAGGTATAAACTTCTCATGGATTTCCCATCCTTGCCCTACATTTTCCTCTGCTGTTCTCTTGATGTCATTTCATCTCATAGCCTTTCATATTCAGCCAACGATCCTGTTGCCAAAGGAGCTCAGTGCCCTGGAGAGAAATTCATGTATGCTTCTATTCATCCTCCCCTTATCGTTGGGAACCATATCATTTCAAATGATGCCATGTTATAATCCCCAGAATACAACAAAGTAACTCTCCTGCTAGTATTAACATGTTAATAAAATTAAAGGTATTCAGAATTTATACTGCCTAAAGCTCTTTCTGCTTTGTCTTCTCCCCTGTTCTTCCCCTGAAACCTCCCACCAGCTTCAATAGTGTAACTGAAAATCCAGATGAAATGGGCAACATCTAATAAGTCTTCATTGGAGTATGTTTATTTAGACTTCCATTCACTGTGCATATGTATTCACTGAATATTATTAAACTACATATTTATTGGGTTGTGCCATTCTTTCCTTTTTTGAGTTTCATTTTAAACAACCCAACAACTATACCATAAATAAAACAAACTCACAATATAAAACATCTGGTACCCCCGGGAAGTTTAAATGCTAAAATACTATGTTAATTCAACTGACAAGTGGAGACTTTAAAGTGGAGAATTCAAGAAAGATCAAATTTATACTTCCCATTGTCCCCATAACAACTAGGCTGTGTATGTACATGTTATTAAGATATAAATATAAGATAGCAGGCATGGTCTAGAGAATTAAGTAGGCAACTTAGAAATTGATTTTGCCTTTGACTCAGCATGTGATCATTATAAAATGTTATTTAACATAGAGGGTCTCAGTCTTTCCCTCTCTTCTAACTTTTTATTTTCAAGAATATATTTGCCCAAGTAATTGAGAAAGTTATACTTAACCCTTTTGTCCAACAGACTTAAAGTTAAAGTATTCTTTTTCTTTTATAATAAACCACTCCCTATGTGATTAAGTAAAATGTATACTCCATAATTATTGTACCTGATACAATGAAATATCTGCCTCTAAGAATTCAACATAGAAACTATAGACAAATACAAGATAAATTCTAGTACAGTACTTACTTCCAGATATCCATAGATATTTTTCCAGGTCTTTGTTCTCCTTTGAGTTCTTTAAAGGGAAAAATATATCTTGAAAGGGTAAGGGTGTCCAAAGGGTTTGGATCACATTTGAGTGATTCAAAATTCCAAACCTTCAACATATTCACAGCCTCATATCTGTTCTCATAATCCTCTTGATACTTCAGCCATCAAACAAGAGCTACAATTATCATCTCTAAAAACTATTTTTATCACTTCATGTTAAGGGTCAAATTAAATCCTGCCCCCAAAGGTTCATGTGTTGAATGGGTTCATGTGTTAAATTCCTAACTCACAGTTAGACATTGTGAACTTATTTGAAAATAGAGTCTTTACCAAGGTAACAAAGTAAAAATGAGGTCATTAGACTGGACTCAAATCCAATACGATTGCCTTCCTTATAAGAAAGGTAAATTTGAACCAGGAAAAATACTGAATCCTTGAATAGACCATGGTCTGAAATTGAGGCAGTAGAAAATAGCCTACCAACCAAAAAAGCCCAGGACCAGACAGATTCACAGTTGAATTCTACCAGAGATACAAAGAAGAGCTGGTACCATTTCTACCAAAACTATTCCAAAAATTGAAGAGGAGGGACTCCTCCCTAGCTCATTCTATGAGGCCAGCATCATCCCAATACCAAAACCTGGCAGAGACACAACAAAAAAAAGAAAAATTCAGGCCAATCTACTTGATAAATATTGATGCAAAAATCCTCAATAAAATACTGACAAACTGAATTCAGCAGGACATCAAAAAGCTCATCCACCACGATCAAGATGGCTTCATCACCGGGAGCAAGGTTGGTTCAACATATGCAAATCAATAAATGTGATGCATCATATTAACAGAACTAAAGACAAAAATCACATGATTACCTCAATAGATGCAGAAAAGGGCTTCAATAAAATTCAACATCCTTTCATATTTAAAATTCTCAACAAACTAGATATTGAAGAAACATATCTCAAAATAATAAGAGCCATATATGACAAACCCACAGTCAGTATCATACTGAAGGGCAAAAGCCAGAAACATTCCCCTTAAAAACTGGCAGGAGACAAGGATACTTTCTCTAACCACTCTTATTCAACATAGTATTGGAAGTTCTGGTCAGGGCAATCAGGCAAGAGGAAAAACTAAAAGGTATTTGAATAAAAAGAGAGGGAGTCAAATTATCTTTGTTTGTAGATGACATGATCCTATACCTAGAAAACCCCATAGTCAGCCCAAAGGCTTCGTAAGCTGATAAGCAACTTCAACAAAGTCTCAGAATATAAAATCAATGAGCAAAAATTGCTAGCATTCCTATACACCAACAAAAGGCAAGCAGAGAGCCAAATCATGAATGAACTCCCATTCACAATGACTACAGAAAGAATAAAATGCCTAGGAATACAGCTAACAAGGAAAGTGAAGGATCTCTTTAAGGAGAATTACAAACCACTGCTCTGAGAAATCAGAGGATACAAATAAATGACTAGGAAGAATCAGTATCATGAACATGGCTTTACTGCCCAAAGTAATTTATAGATTCAATGCTATTCCCATTAAACTACCATTGACATTCTTCCAAGAATAAGAAAAAAACATTTTAAAATTCATATGGAACCAAAAAAGAGCCTGAATAGCCAAGTCAATCCTGAGCAAAAAGAGCAAAACTGGAGACATCACACTACCTGACTTTAAACTATTCTACAAGGCTACAGTAACCAAAACAGCATGGCACTGGTATAAGAACAGACAAACACATCAATGGAAAAGCATAGAGAATTCAGAAATAAGACTGCACACCTACAACCACCTGATCTTTGACAAATCTGACAAAAAACAAGCAATGGGGAAAAGATTCCCTATTTAATACATTGTGCTGGGGAAACTGGCTAGCCATATGCAGAAAATTGAAACTGGGCCTCTTCTTTACACTATACACAAAAGTTAACTCAAGATAGATTAAACAATGTAAAATCCCAAACTATAACAACTCTAGAAGAAAATCTAGGCAATACCATTCAGGAATTACGCTTGGACAAAGATTTTATGACAAAAATGCCAAAAGCAATTGCAACCAAAGCAAAAATTGACAAATGGGATCTAATTAAGCTAAAGAGCTTCTGCACAGCAAAAGGGGAGGGAGAGGGAGAGCGTCAGAAAGAATAGATAATGGATGCTGGGCTTAATACTTGGGTGATGCGATGGTTTGTGCAGTAAACCACCATGGCACACATTTACCTAGGTAACAAATCTGAATGTAATGCATATGTACCCCTGAACTTAAAAATTGAAAAAATAAAGGAAGGCAAATTTGGACACAGGCATGCACACAGAAAGAATGTCACAAAAACATCAAGGCAGAGATTGGGGTGACATGTCTATAAAGAATGGCAGAGATTACTGGAAAACCATAAGAAGAGGAGAGAGAACAAAGCAGGTTCTTCTTTATGTTTCTCAGAATAAACCAACCCCACCAACACCTTTATCTCAGACGTCTAGTCTCCAGAACAACACATTTTCTGTTTAAGCCACCTGGTTTGTGGCACTTTTTCACAGCAGCTCTAGCAAACCAATACACTTCACCTTCACTTATAATATCCCTGCCTCTCAGTAAAAATTCAAAATCTCTGCCATAGGCTACATGGCCACCCTTTCTGCCTTTACTCAGTCTCCTGTCTCATCTCTCACCAGTTCCACCCTGAAGTCTAGCAACCTTGATTTTCCACAGTCTATTCCATGCCTTTATGAAGTAAGTGCTAATACATAAACTAATGTTCTACCTGACCCTTTCCTTTTTTGACCTGGCAAAATCTTCTCTCTCTTTCAGAATCTAATTCAAATGCTATCCGTCTGAAGAATACTCAGTGTATCAGGGACCTATACACCAAAAATGTAGTGTCGAAAGAAAAAAGCAAGATGTGAACAGTGCAAATAGCATTGTACTATGTAAGTAAATTGAATAAACTACATAAAAGAGCATACGCTAGTTTTTTCTAGATGTATACATAGATGCATGTAAATACATATTTTAAACATTTGAAGTATCTACAGCAAACTCAAAATAGTGATTCCCTTGGGGCTTTGGGAGAAGCAGGTCTGGTTGAGGAGAAAGTGGATGAGGAAAATTGAAGTTTTCAATTTTTTTAGAGAAGAAAAATATGTCTATATGTTACTTTTATAATTTAGAAAAAAACTAAAGGAAAGTATGCCAAATTTTAATGTACTCTAATTACACCTAAAAGTGTTTAATTCTGGGTAATTATATATACACACACACACACACACACACATATATATAAACATACATATATATGGGTAGTTACATATATATGAAATATATATGGGTAATTATATATGTATAAATAATTACATATAAATAATTATCTATATTTGTTAATATGCTAGTTATATATACATATATATATAATTTGTTTTATAGTTTTGTGAATTTTCTTTTCACTTTTTGAAAAAGAAATGAAAGCAAAATGCTGAGTCCAGTTCCTAAAGCTAGAGGAAGAGAGGAAGTGAGATTTAGGGAACCAACTACAGACCAAAAATAACTTGGGGAATATGACCAGTCAGAGACACCACCTGTCCCTGTATCCCTACAGTTCTTCCTGAACATTCCATTACAACTCTTGAAAGGAGAAGTGAGACCTGTTGTACCCCTAATAAGACTGTAATGACTTCCTGAACCTCTAATCCACTTGCAGTTCAGTGAACAACACTGAAGAAAAACTTCGTGTTCTCTTAAACCTGGTTATTATTATTACTCCACTCTACCTTTCTGCTAGCATTATAGTTCTGTGGAGAAATCTGAGAAAAACACCTGGGTTCTACTCACGGTTGTGCCATTGTCTCCAGGTTTGACCAAATAACCTGCTCCCAGATGAAAAGCACTGATGATTATGAGAAATTGATTAATAGTTTAAGATGGCTCAAGAGCTGATACAAACACAAGTAATTTACCATTTAATTCATTAGGAATTCATCCTCACTTGGTTTAGTTTCATATGAAGGATCATATTTTTACTGTGATATAAACTTCTGCACAGATATTTGTTTTGATGAATATGTAGATATACAAAAACAAGAAAACATAATATATTGGCTAAGATAATAAGATCATATGCATTCTCTTTTTCTGTATCAATATTTTTATTTTTTTCAAGTCAGTATACAAAAAGGACCCACAATTCCAACATGTTAAACAATTTTATTTGATTCTTTAATGGTAAAACCTTAGGAGTTGTCTCTCTGTCTTGAGCAAACATAAAGAGGTTGCCAATCTCTGAAGCAATGGCTTGCTCTTGATTTTTAACTCTTTCCTCAGCTTGTTGTATTCAAAAATGGCATAACTTTGTTCATGGTACATCACTTCGTAACCATAGAAATGCCTGTGATGATGTGGTGAAATACCTTTCAAATATTTCCTATGGGTTCTGAACTGCAAGAAGAAGGTTTTGTTAATATAAAAGGTAAAATACAGCACTTTGGGAGGCCGAGGTAGGTAGATCACCTGAAGTCAGGAGTTTGAGACCAGCCTGACCAATATGATGAAACCCCACCTCTAGTAAAAATACAAAAATTAGCCGGGCATGGTGGCATGCACCTGTAATCCCAGCTACTCAGGAAGCTGAGACAAGAGAAGAGCTTGAACCCGGGAGGCATAGGTTGCAGTGAGCCAAGATCATGCCATTGCACTCCAGCCTGGGCAACAAGAGCGAGACTCCGTCTCAAAAAAAAAAAAAAAAAAAAAAAAAAAACCATAAAGTAACTGTCACTTCATTGTTTGCCTAACCTCCTCACCTTTAAAGGATAAGTGCATGTGGGCACCTTTTCTTTCAAGAATGTGTAAAGTCTGAACAAAAGAATTCAGTGTTTGGAAGCTGGGAGTTTAATTTGTCATTCAACCCAAAATCTATTCAATAGAAACAAAACCATATGCAAATGTATATCCACAGTTGAATACAGCAACACTTGGCTTCCTCATTTATCACAAAATATAAAGATAAACTGCTAAAATTCACCTAAATTATCACCTACTCCTTCCCCACCTTCTCAAAATACATACTATACAAATTATTGCCTTTAAGCGAGTAATTTCAGGTTGTTCACCTCAGAATTATTGCTGCCAATTGCTAATATGGTAAAACCAATTTTCCCTGCAAGAATTCACAACACCCAGAGACTCTGGGTTTTTGTTTTGTGTTTTATATTTTTCTCCTGCACGAAAAACAAAATTGAATAGAGACTGAGAAATAAAACACATGAGTGTTACAAACCCTTTGATTACTCTAACTACGCCTAAAAGGAAAACAAGACCCCTCTCTTGGTAGGAGAAGTGTGAATAATTAATAGGAAAGGAAGGAAGATAGAAAAGCTATAAACCATTGTCAACTGATCTGCACAAGCACCAGAGAAGCATGTTGTGTCCTGACAAAAGCTAGTCATCATTGCTCTTGCTCCCTCATCCCTAACGAGCAGATCTCTCCCTCCCTGCTTTTGCCCCTGCTCTAATAACTCATGTGAAGTTGTTTTCAAATGGATTAATACCATTCTGGGGGGCCTGAGTCAGTAAGGACATTCCTGGAAACTTTGCCATTGTGCTGTATTTGGAAAAAGAGTGAAATGTGAATGTTCACAGTCTTAAGGGCAGTCACAGAGAAAACTGGAACTCTGTAAATGTTTAATTACAATTTCCCTCATTGGATTGAACCCATTGAGCATAATGAAAGAAAGAAAGGGTGTAGGTGTGGAGGGAGGGACAAGCATGAGAGGGAAATTGGCAAGACAGTTCAGCCTGGGCCCTGTAGGAACCAGCTGCTTGCTGCTCCAAGCAATAAAAATGTTTGCATGCAATTAATTCCAGGGATCAAAAGCCTGCCTTGCTTTTGCAGGTAATGCGGAGGTACAGCTCCTAATGGGGACCCCTTGAAGATACTAAATAGCCAGTGGCTAAATCAAGCAATTTAAAAATTATGGACGTTTTACTAAATAAATGAACATGCTTCAGTAGTGACAAAGAAGATTTCCTAACAGCTTCCTACTTATTTATGTGCTCGTGTGTTTCACCTCAGGACAGAGAAAGCTCAGAAAGTGGAGCTGGAGTCTCTGGGTGAGGTGTGATAAATTTGTGCAGGTAAACTGAAACAACAGCTATTATTCTTTCTGCACACTCTGGCATTAAGGTATGCTGCGTTAGTCCATGGACATAAGGGACAGGGCCGGGATGGGGAGAGGCACTCCTCTTTCTTCTCCTAAGGTGAGGGTGTGAGTTGGGACAAGGACAACTCGTAGCTTGTGTATAACCCAGTTTGGTTAGCAAAGACAAACCGAGGTAAACCTTGATACCATAGACCTTGTCATGGGTGTTGGATGTCCTCAAAAAAGCAGGCTATGCCAGCTTCTACAATGCCAGATCATTGTTGCACAGCATTCCACTGCAGCGCTAATAAAACCCAAACTCCCAAGCAATGGTCCTCCTTGTAAGTTTTACTTTCAATCTTGTCCCCTATGTTCCAGTCACTATGGCTTCATTCACTCCACACCCTCATCACATTCCCCCATGCCATGGGTGCTTTGCACGCTGTTCTCTGTGACTGTGATACTTTTGCCTCCCCTTCCTGGTTAACTCTGCCCCTCCTTCCTATCTCTAGCCAGGAACTCTCAGACAAGCTCTTCCTGAACTTTCTGATTCCGTCAGATCTCTGTATCAGACAGCACCAAGGTCTACAGCTTTGTAGCATGCATTACTGTTACAAAAGTACTTTTGCTTGTGAGAGTATCCAATTAGTGCATGTCTCTTCCTCTAGAATATATGTTTCATATGAACAAAGATGGGACCTCTTTATGCACTGTTGTTTCCCCAGTGTTTAGAACATAGAAGGTACTTAATAAATTCTTATTGAATTAATTAATCAATTAAGGATCTCCTTCTGACTGCAGACCATTTATCAATTTCTGACTTCTGAAAGGAGAACCAGTTCTACATGTAAGCCACTAAGTAGATGACTGACTGTTCATCATCAATTATTATGTCCCATGATAGACACTGGTACAGAGAGACCAACAAGGCCTGAACATGCCATACAGTATTTGATACAATCAATGATACACAGTGAGCACCAACTTTGCCCAGGGACCTCCGAGAGAGGGAACAGCAATGGGAACTTCTCCACCCTAATCTAGTAGAAAAGTTATAGCAATAACTATAACACAATACACTCATAGAGACATGGGGAAGGTTTTGAGAGAAGTTATAGGAAAAAAAAAAAGAGGGAGAAATTTTCATCCTATTTCAAACCTGTAAGAGAGATCTCATAATTCTAGTTTTATAGGAAGCTGAGACACATAGAAGTTAAACAACTTACTCTCACAAAATTAATATGTTTTTGAGCGAGGACTCAAAAATGTTTTTTTTTTTTAAATTCTGAAACCAAATTATTTTCATCATATTTCTTTGGCTCTTTTGATGGTGGGATTTCACAGCACTTTATGCTAAAAAAAAAAAAAAAAAAAAAAAAAAAAACACTAGAGTATTTGAGCTACACATACATAGTGAGAGAAGTCATTTACCAGACATCCATCATTGGAATAGAGATGGAGATGAAAAAGTGGCATCCTGACATTTGGCTAATTTCCATGTACATATAAGGGACATGGACCATAGGGCAAGAACTGTGCTAAGCTGCAGATATAAGTCTAGAAAACACAACACTTATCCTCAAGAAATATTCAACTAAAGACAGTCCACTAGGAAAAGAAGTTTAAATGCAATGAAATCAAAGTTCTTACAGATAGTACTTGCTGTTGAATCTCTTGTTCTTATCTTAAGACTTCTTGGCTTTCACTCTTGAGATCTCACTGAAGATTCTCTCCTCCAATAGAACATTGAATGGGACTTTGCCCTATCTCAGAAGTATCCCAAGAGGAACTAAAGCCCTGGCAAGATTTCAGACTCCCTGGTTCCATAAA